ATCGTGTCTGCCCGCACCCCCCGCCGTGGTTTTCAGGGGCCCCTGCTCTTCTGGGGGACCCGAGACCACAGCTCAGCCATAGAGCCTGTAGAACCCGTGCGGCATGTCATTACCCGCTGCCCGGCTTCCTGATTACCCGGGAAGCCTGCTCCATGCCAGTGGAAGCACCGGTATTAATATTCGGTATCGGCGAATTACCGAAAGCAAAATATCGGTACTCAATACCGAAAAACTGGTATCGGTGCATCCCTAGTTTTGATTAAACTATTTTTTTGTATTGGGGCAAGTAGATCGTCATGAAGGACAAGTAGATTTGGCCCCCGCTTTAGCCCTTGGACAATTAGTTTTGGTTTTTTTACATTTCCACACCCCTGCGGTATTCTTAATTAATTTGCCACAGCAATAGCGCCAGAATGTTTAAGTGTTGCACATAACTACCTGAATTTATCACACACATTAGAAATAGCAAGAAAACTGTCACATGACTTTCATGAATTTGGCACAGGACTTTCTAATACTGTCCTAAAACCAGAAAAAAGTGTTACAAATGTTTTACTGAATCACTGCCATTATCTTATTTTTTTAATGTGAGGTGCTGGTAATAATTTTTTTATATGAGTATTTGATATAATGTAGCTATTTGTGATATTGTGCAATATGTCTTCTGCAGATTGTATTAAAGGAGAACTATGAGGTGAGTGCTCACCTCATAGTTCTAGCCGACCTGTGACAATGAGACTGTCACAGGTCGGCTCAGTAGATCGGGAGGTGAGCGAACACATACCGGCTGGATTCCCCCCTCCCCGCTCCGATCCGCCAGCGCTGACTGGCGGAACGGACGGGGGAGGGGGCGGGTACAGCTGGCTCTGCCTCTAGATAGGCAGAGCCAGCTGTCAGTCACGCAGCTGGGTGGATCCAGACATAATTGTCGGGATCCGCTTCAGTTGCGGTGTCTCAGTATACCGCGAGCTACAGCTCGCGGTATACTGAGCCTAGGGTGACGGGAGGACGCTAGTTTGTGTCCTCCCGTTACCCTAAGGAGAACTATGGGGAAAAGCCTTAACCCCATAGTTCTCCTTTAATCCCCTGTTCTGTTTTTTAATAGTATTAGTTTTGTTTTTTCTTTGCAACGTAAATAGGTAGCAGATAGATAAATGCAGATTCCAAGGCTACATAGTAAGTTTTTTACAATTGGTTGCAACATCTCATACAAGCTTATTTACACAATGTCACAATAGTCTAAGCTGAGTAATAACCAGTTAAACAAAGGAATGTTCTGTGTAAGGCTGGGTTCACACCTAGGCGTATCGAATATGCGCTTTTGTCGCGCGTTTGGTGCCGCACGTTTTTACAGCAATTCACGGGGGAAAAAAACGCGACAAGCGCGCGTTTCCGAGGGCTACCTGGCTGTATCCCAATGGATAAGAGCCCCAAAGAAGCTCCTGTACTTCTTTTGGCGTAGGGCGTTTTGCAGCGCGTTCATACGGCCCTTAATACGCCCAGGTGTGAACCATACCCATAGGAAATAATGGGATTTCGGTGTTTGAGCGTTTTGCAGAGCGTAGGAACGCGCTACAAAACGCCCAGGTGTGAACAGGGCCTAAAAGATAATCCAAGTAAAGTGGTGTTGCCTTGGGACACCAAACTTTGTGCACCTACAGGCTCCAGCAACGGAAGTCCAGCCCTGCCTGGGGGGCTTTTATCAAAAGGGAGCATTGACTGAGCCAATTCTGCTCAGATATAAATTATATTAATAAACCCATTCAATCATCTTCCCTGGCATAGCTAAGTATAATCTTAGCTATAAGCAATGTGTGATGATCCACATATCCCAATCTATGACTACTACAGCGGTGGTGTAATCCAGCCCTAATAACACTATTCAGTAAATGAGAAACGTTTCAGCTGTCACAGCACAACACGGTTATGTCAGATAACTCAATCAGTTCACTACTGCAGTTTTAGATGGTTTAAATATATTTCTGACATTTATAACAAAGCAAAATGCCTTCAAAATGTGTTATATGTTTTTTAGATATTATTTTAATTGTGCAAGCAGCTATACTGGTTACTGCAGCGCCTTCTTTTCATCTACACTTAACATAAACTCCATATAGAAAGCTAAATACACGTATATAAACTTTCTTATCCACGAAAGGATTTGTAATTCTGTCATGCTACTTTTGCAATTCATACACCTCTGCCAGACAGCAAAGCTAAGGGGGTTAAAACACTTTGTTAGGCCCATGTCACATTATCGATTCTGTCTCAATGACCCCTTGCCTGTGACAGCATCACTTAGGGATCATTTACATTAATACAATTTACTGTGCCAAGTGTTAACATGACCCATTTTTTCTGACGCACCAAAAAGCATGTTCACTGTTACCTTTACATTGGATGCACCCATAATGCAGTAGCAACATTCTGTTCAAGTCTGTTGGATGTTACTACACAGGCATGGGCAGTCCTACACTAGATTTTCACAG